AGGGTAACCGAAGCTTCTTTTCAGCCTCCCAGCCAGCAAAACAGAAATTATCACCAACTGGAAGGTGTATGTGGGGGGGGGGGGAGAAAGAAAGAAAGAGAAAGAGATTAAAAAAGGAAGGAAAGGAGAGAAAAAGAGAAAAAAAGAGAGACACAAGAAGGAAGGAAGAAAAAAGGAAGGAAGGAACGAGAGGGAGAGACAAGAAAGGAAGGAAAGAGAAAGAAAGAAAGAAAGAAAGAAAGAAAGAAAGAAAGAAAGAAAGAAAGAAAGAAAGAAAGAAAGAGAACATGATCACAATAGAGCCCAAAATTTTGGTTGCTAAGCAAGAGTATTGTTAAATGATTTTCACCACATTTTACAAGTTGGTCACTCCCACACGGTCACATGACCGCTAAGCCACACTCACAAAATAGGCCACATCTACAGAATAGGTTCTAAAAAAAATTTTAAACCCACCACTGCAGTACTCATTCTATATGTTTAGCATTAAATTACATGCATTAAGTAAACGAGGACAAAAGATCATCATGGGTCTTGAGTCTCCAAAATGCTGATGTCTTTTCTCTAAGGCATAATTTGAAATAGATTTCCTATTATCAATCCCTTTGAAAGAACTAATATTAAAAATCTGCTCTACATTTTTATCAGCTTGAAGGCTATCACTGCTCTTCATTCTAGTCTTATCAAACAACAGGAAGAACTTGTCAAGGCCAGACATCTATGCTATTCTGGAAGACATCATCCTAACATTAAAGGTATATTTTTCTGCTATAATAAAACAAAATAATCTACCAGTAAATTATAGCTTAATTTGGATATCAATCTGAAACACACACATTTGAGGTTCTGCAGTATGCATTATATGAACTGTGGCGGGCTATTCACACTTTCATAACAATGTGTTCAATGTGCCATTCTCTGAGTTGCTTGAATAAATCATAATATTTAGCCAAATGAAATAATGAGGTAAAATAGTGAAAGAAACATGATTTGTGGTTTTTATATATTATCCAGAGGGATAATATCCTAAAAATTTTGAACAGCTTTGTGAATGCTAGATGAGTCCTGTAATTATGTTTCTCCTAATTAGAGTTTTGTGATGGACTCTTGTAAGATGAAAAAGTGCAGCAGGTTTTCTAGGACTTTGTGTATTATTTTCTATTAATGGCTGTGATGGCTCAGCAGTTAAGACACTGGGCTTCTTGGCTGGAAAGGAAGTAGCCCAGGTTGAAGACCCAAACATTTGGCTAGTTCTGTTTGAGATATTGATAACTGAAACAGAGTTTTTTGTATTATTTCAATTTGATTTTTTTTTTCATTTTGATTTTAGCAACAATTCATATCCCTGCAAGGGTGACAAAGTACAACTATCAAGATGAAACACACAGCAAGCACAGAATTGGGATAACTTTTCCCCATCAGACTAGCAAATCACATGTTCTAAGGGACACTACTAAACAAAACCAAGAAAGTTCTCCAGGTAATAAGCTCAGAAGCAGGGAAATGGACACTACAGGACACACCACAATTCATAATCTTAGAAACAACACCAGCGGTTTCTTTGAAAATATGGCAAATAAACAAATTCCTATCCCTGGAGGTGCCACAAAGAGTATTTTGCAAAGTATTAGAAGTCCTAGATTTACCAGTCCCCAAAGTGCCAGAATGAATACCCTTAGAGATGCCACAAATGATGTTACTAAAAGTATCTCAGCTAACTTCTATGGAACTGATACAACTCATATTCCTGGATATACCACTGAAAATATCCTAATGGATAGTAGAACACACTCTCTAGGAATTACTGTGGAAAACGATTCTAGTAATGCTAAAGGCAGTATCTACGAAGTTGCCATAACTCACAACCCTGCAGATGTTACTGTCAACCAACATACAATTCACATTCTTGAAAGCAAGAATGAAAACGTATCTCATAGTGTGGTGAAATATATCCTTAAAAGCTCTATACCTACTAGCATTAATGGTGCCATGGGCCTGCCTGGAATTATCTCAGATTACACCTCCAGAAGCACTCCAACTGGAGGTGTTACCAACAACATTACCAGTACTTTTACAAGAAACATTCTTGGAAATACAGCTGGCAAAATCTTAGAAAGGATCACGGCTCACTTTCCTAGTGTGAGATCTAGCAACATCCCTGGAGATGCCATGAGCAAATACTTTGAAGATACCACAATTCACATTCATGGCGATGCTGCAACTAGCATCCCTACACACAACATAACTCACAATCTTAGAGGTACCACAGGAAATAACATTCCTAGAGGTACTACTACAAATATCCTTGGTAATGTCATAAACAATGTTCCTGAAGATACCTCAGTTCGCAGTCGTAATGGAGTTACTAGTAAATTTTCCAGTAGTACCACATTTCAGATGGTAAGAGGTGCCACGGTCAACATTGTTAAAAGTATCACAGCTTCAGTACTTAGAAATACAAGAGAAGATGAATATATTCCCAGCCTAAAGAATTCCACATATAATATACTTCATGGCAATCTATCTGGTGAGATCACAGGTAATGTTAATGGAGGTGATACAATCCCTAAAATTTATGATGCAACAGAAAACAAACATAAAATTTCCATCACTCACAGCCCTGGAAATGGGGCCATGTATTACATCTCTGGAAGAGTCACAACTCCTTTCTCCACAAGTACCACTGGAAATATATTTCAAAGCCCCACACCTAATGCTAAAAAAATTGCAATGGGATATGATCATAAAGCAGTACATGAGGGCACAATTGGCAATATTTCTGGAGGTGCAATTAGTCACACTCCTGAAGGCACTACGGCAAGTGTTCCTGGTACAAACAAAAACCTGGGAAGTGCCATTAGCAACAATGGAGTTTCTCTCATTTATAAACCTAGAGATGCTACTGCCACAATTAGTATTGTTAATGGTGGCCATAAAATTTCCAGTGATCCCATATTTAATATATTTAAAAGCACAATTCCTATAGGTTCCACAGTTCACATTCCTAGCAGTATCACTGACAATAACATTGAAAATAAAACTACTCTCTTCCTGGATGGTTTCTCAAGCAATATTACTATAGGTATTCCTGACCACATAGGCACTTTAGTTACCATCCCTGGAGGTATCACATATGACATTCCTCAAAATACCATCTCTGGGGTTGTTCCTAGCATTGCTTCTGATAATGATAGATACAAAGATGCCACACCTTCAACAGATGTTATAAGTCCCATTCTTGGAGGTTTTTCTGTAAAAATTCAGAGTGATTTTACAAGCAACAGCTCTGAAGATGTAACTAGCAATATTCATATTAATGATACAACAAGCATCTTTAAGGAATCTACAGTTTCTATTCCCATGCGTAGCACCAAACATAACCTTGAAGACAAAGCAACACATGTTCATAATGGTTCTGAAGGTAACAGCCAGAATAATGCCACTGGAAATATCTCTCAGAAGATCACAATTTCTGGAAGCACCAGAAGTACTATTTCTACTATTTTTGGAGGTGGGCCAACTCATCTCCCAGGAAAGGGCAATGAAGATGGTGCTCCTGGAAGCCCAAACAATGATAGTTCTGGAGCTGTAACAACCAGCATCTTTTTTGATGCTACCACACATACTTCTTCTACTTCTATTCTTGACAAAGGCAACAGCTGGGCAAATAACACTGTGCCCATGTTATTCTACTGTATTCTTACTTGGATTTCTGTCACGGTTTCATTATAGGTTTTTTTTATCCAAATGCAAATGAAATAAATAAAATCTTTTGATGGTATTCACAAAGTAAACTTAACTTGGCTAATTGAAAACCTAGCAGTTATATTTGCACAAAGTAATTTGTTGATTGTTCAGAGTATTGGATGCAATTTATTTTTCAATAATCCGGTAATGGGTTCCTGCAGCACAGTGAAAACCAAGAAAATGGCCTCCTGGCCAAAAACAGGCTGCAGGGAGGTCAAATGAGCTGTTTTGGGCTGACAATGCTGCAGGAGCCATGGAGTCTGAAAACAGGGGGTGCTGAGGCCTCACAGAAACTCCATGCAGCCCATTATTGTCACCTGCCTTCTCTCTGCTGGCCTGTAGAGGAAACCCCAATGCTGATCTAGCCCTCAAAGAAATCTACTTTGACACCCCTGCTTTGATGTTTGAAATTCTGTATGCCCTTAATAGCTGTTTCTACCCATTTCTGAGTACCTAGATGCTAAAAGTATCTAGAAGATTCAGATCCTTCTTCAAGGTAGTAACCTAAGGTATATCTCGAATTGCTGGTAATTCAGACCCAAGACCTCAGATTTGACAAACAAAAAAATATTCGTGTTCCCCTGGGTCCAGAATGCTTAAATACCGCTTCTTTGCAGATCTGCTTTTCCTGAGGAGTTAGTTCAAGGCATATTTCAGAATTGCTGGTAGAAATCAATTCAGACCCAAGAGCTCAGATGTGAGAAAGAAACACATATTCTTGTTCCCCTTGCTCCGGAAAGATTAAATACTGCATTTGCAGATCCGAGCTTTCCCTGTGAAGTTAGACCTCAATTCAGCCAGAAACTCTGATTTTGATCTGGAGCTCAGATTTCAGAAACACATATTCTCCTGGATCTGGGAAGCTTAAATGCCACTTCATTTGAGGATCCCAGCTTTCCCTGAGGAGTTACCACTGGAATATCTCAGAATTCCTGGTAGAACAATTCAGAGATAATATCTGATTCTGGACCCAAGACCTCAGATTTGAGAAAGTAACACATGTTCTCCTGGCTCTGGAATGCTTAAATATAGCTTCTTTGGGGATGAAAGCATTCGCTGTGAGTTACAAAAGACAGACCTCAACTGGTGGTAGAACTCAGGGAGCTGGAAAAACGAAAATATGTATTTCTTTCTCAAATCTGAACTCGCGTCCAAAAGCAGGTTTTCTGGCTGAATTGAGTTCTGATTGCACAGGGGAAGCTGTGCTTCCTGCTTGTTTGTGGATCTGAGCTTTCCCTGTGGAGTCAGAACTCAATTCGGGCAGAAAGCCTGATATTGGACACAAGCTCAGGTTTGGGAAGGAAACCCATATTCCCTTTCTCCTCACTCCGAAAAACTTAAACCACACTTCTTTGCAGATCTGAGCTTTTCCTGTGGAGCGCTCAATTCGGCCAGAAAGCCTGATTTTGGATGCAATCTCAGATTTGAGGGAAAAAAACATAATCATTCTCCTGGCTCCGGAAAGCTTAAATCCCGCTTCCCTGCATTTTCGACCTTTCGCTGTGGTCACAATTCAATTTTCCCCCTTCGGGGGAAAAGGGCAGCATATAAATGAAATAAACATTCAAACATTCAAACATTCAATTCGGGCAGAAAGCCTGATTTTGGACATGAGCTCAGATTTGAGAAAGAAACCCATATTCCTGTTCTCCTCACTCTGGAAAATTAAATCCTGCTGCTTTGCGGACCCGAGATTTCCCTGTGGAGTCACAGCCAGAAATTAAATCAGAGTCCAAGGCAAAGTATTGCTCAACGTTCCAATTTATTAAGACAGCCATGCTGACATATCTGGGAAAACCCAATCCACGACTTTGGACGTGAGCTCAAATTTGAGAAAGAAACACATATTCTCGTATTTCTGGCTCTGGAAAGTTTAAATTCTGCTTCTTTGTGGATTCAATCTTTCCCTGTGGAAGAACATCTCAATTTGGCCAGAAAGACTGATTTTGGACGTGAGTTCAGATTTCAGAAAGAAACATATTCTCATTCTCCTGGCTCCGGAAAGCTTAAATCCCGCTTCTTTGTGGATCCGTGCTTTCACTGTGGAACTACAACCCAATTAGGCCACAAAGCCTGATTTTTGACAGGAGCTCAGATTTGAGGCAGAAATAAATATTCTCCTGGTTCTGGAAAGCCCAAATCTCGCTTCTTTGTGGATTCAACCTTTCTATGTATAAACCTGATTTTGAATCCGAACTCAGATTTGAGAAAGAAACACATATTCTCGTTCTCCTGGCTCTGGAAAACTTTTTTTAAAATTTTTATTTATTTTCAAAACAAACACACCATCATCAAATATACTTCTTTACATACTGTAGAAAGTGTATCAGTTGGTTAGAAAAGGCTTTTGTGCATCTCTTCCACCGTCATCAAATATAATTCATATTAACTCAAATATCTTAACTCAAATATTTACTATATTAACATCATCATACCTCCACTTTTATTTGACTATAGTTATTTAAACATCCTTCATCCTTAAATATACCAAGATTCAATACATAACCACATGCTGGCATTTCATTTACTTATTTGTAAAATCCTCCATTAACATTAAGTTCTCATATTGTCTTTTAGCTAAACATCCATATTTAATACCAACATTTTCTAATCCTCCATGTATATAATTTATTATCATTATCCTTTCTTTATTTAACTATATCCTATATCATAACATTTTTCCCCTATTAGTTAAAACTTAACTCTATCTAGTTTTATTTTTTTATTATAATTATTATTAATAATAATAATCTGATTCAATGTATTGAATCTTGGTATATTTAAGGATGAAGGATGTTTAAATAACTATAGTCAAATAAAAGTGGAGGTATGATGATGTTAATATAGTAAATATTTGAGTTAAGATATTTGAGTTAATATGAATTATACTTGATGACGGTGGAAGAGATGCACAAAAGCCTTTTGTAACCAACTGATACACTTTCTACAGTATG